GATGCTAGGTTTTGTTAGGTGGGGCTGGGGTATTTTTTTTTTTTTTTAACCACAATTAGCTAGATAACAAAACAACTAGTACTACAGTTCTTTCCACCTTGAGCATCTAGAATGTGCTGGGAACTCAGCTATGGATTCTCACAACAGCCCTGAGAGAGAGAGTTACTATCTTCACCTTACGGAGGAGGAGAAATGGTTCCAAGGGATGAAGTGGGAGCCCCCAGATCTGTCAAGTGCGGAGCTGGATTTACACCAAGTCGGTCTGACTCAAGGCTGTGTCCTTCCCCAGCGTACCCAGGGGCTCTTCATACCGCTGTGTCTTCCCTGGTCTCCCCTAGGGGAAGAGGAGCCATAGGTCCTCTTATCCTAGGATCTAGAACCGGAAAGGAATCGGGAGTTCCCGTCTACCATGCCGTTCCCTTAGAACCAGGATCCTCACTTCCTTTACAAAGCGTGTTTACAGTTGAACAATGGCTACATCTCATCTTGGGTCTTTTTTTGGCTCTTGGAATGGAAACTCTGCCCTTTGTCTTTAGTACAAAGAAACAACATTCACTGCAGACCACTATCTCAAAAGTCCTTACGCTCTGGTCCTCGGAAAGGGTCTCTACCCCTGGGTTGAAGGTCAGCGTAGGAAAACCATCACCAGGTCACAGAATTGCTCATTTATGCAACTTGGGTTTCTTGTAATGTACTGGATTTTTTTAAGTTTATATTAAAAGATACATACTATATTATTGATCTATATTATCGATACAATGTATTGATATTGATATGTCATATATACTACATGTCATAAGAGTGTTATTATATAATAGTCTATTATGTCAGGCTAGTAATTATATAATAATAATACTATTATATATAATAGTATTTATATATAAATATAAATATATAATAGTGTATACGCTCACATGCGCGCGCACACACACACACACACACAGTTATTTAAGCTAGTATTTCCCCCTTAGCTTTCAAATGATTATCAAGCATGGAAAAATATTTTTTCAATTTTTTTTAATGCATGGAAAAATATTTTTATTGACATACATTTGACATGTAACATCGTGTAAATTTGTACATTGTATAAATGTAAGGTGTACATGTTAATTTGATACACTTATATATTATGATCCCCATTGTAGCAATACATAGCACCTCTCTCACATGACTTAACTGTAATTTGCTTTTAGTGGTTGGGATAATTAAGTTCTAGTCTCTTAGCAAGTTTGGTGATCATAATACAACACTGTTGTCTATATGTGCACAAAATATTTTACGTAAAGATGAGACTAAGGGGATGATTTCTATTTTCCTCTTTTATGTTACTCGAAATCCTAAAATATGTGCCTTTCTGGAGACTTGAATAATTTTCAGACTTTTAAAGCGAGGAAGGTCCTCCACTGGTGGTCCAGCCCCAACTCCTCGGGCAAACGAGGAAGGTAGCTTGCTCAAGGTCATGAAGCAAAGTTGCACACAGACAGCCGCCAGAAAGCAAATCAAAGAGATATTTAAAAACCCACTAAACATAAACACAACGCGAGCCATGCAAGCCCACATCACGTAATTTCTTTGGAATAAGCTGGTGATAAAGATCACATTTCCCTTTATGTTTTTTCCAACAACAGCTCATGATACAATTTGTACGGCTCCTGGTAACTTTTACTGGGGAAAATTTGGGGGAAAAAAAACAAAACAAAACAAAACAAAACAAAAAGACCCATGTTTCAAAGGAACCAGATCTGATAAGGGGGCAGAAATATTTAGTCCATTATTTCAAGAGGCAGGTTCTTTGTTTCTCGGACGCTTCCTGTTTTAAAAATAGCTTTCCACAACTGTTCCAGGACTAGGATGTCCTTTTAAATGAAACTGGCTTTGAAGATGCAATTCCGTTTACTTGGAGCAAGTTGCAGAATATCAATCAGCCTTTTGCAAAAGGTTGCTCCGACCAGGTATCCTGGACCCTCGGGTTCTGGTCCCGCTGCAGCCGGAGCTGGGGAGCTGGGTCCCTGGCCCGCGAGGAAGTTTCGGGGAAGTAGCTGCTACAGGTGGGAGCCGTGGGGGGTGGGGGGGGGGCTGTCCTAAGGGGACAAAGGCTTCCAGCCATCGGGTAGTACATCAGTGATTCACCAAATCAAACGTCGCCGCTTATGTGCAGGATATGACTAAAGGGAAGGAGGGTGTGACTCTGAGCGCTAGGTGTGATCACGGCCTGGCGGCTGAGAAGGTGTCCACCTTTCTGAGTGATGTGTACTTGAACGCAGAAAGATGGAAGGGCACGGGACAGAACCGCCTCACAGCCTGCCCGCAGAGGGACCTGCGAAGGGAAGGCGGCAGAATCCAGCGGAGAGCTGACAGTGTGCGATGTTGTGTCGGGGGTGGGGGGGGGGCTTCATGGTTCTCTTCTCGCGGCTATTATGTTTGGAGATTGTCGTAATCACTGCTTTCAACCTGGACACTGTGTTTTTCAGGAAAGGCTGTGCGTGCACCCTGCCAAGGAAGAGGCGGACAGAGCCTGTGGGAGTGCGGATGGATCGGCGGACTCGAGGCTGATTCTTTGCACAGCAGATGAGTGTGTTTGTCTGTGTGGGGGTCTCCCTGAGCGTGTGTATGAGGCTGGGGAAAAAGGAAACAGGATTTAAAACTGGCTCGTGACCTTTGCGGGTGGGGGACGTGGGAGGGGAGGTAGTCTGGGAACCACTGAGAATGGACTGGAAACGTCATGGACACCCTCCGAAAAAATAAATAAATAAAACAAGAAAAATCCACAAACGTATTATCCTCAGGGGGTCGAGGGTCCCCTAAAGCCCACCGCCTCCGCCCTGGGGAAGAACTAATTCAGTGCGCGGCCCGCCATTTCTAAGCCATAAGGAGACTCTTTCTGTACCTTTTCTTGGTGCACTGCATACATAAAAAAGCAGCAGGCAAGAAAGAAAAAGCAAACCCTTCCTAAGGCCAGCAAAATGCAGAGCCACTACCCCTCTAGGGCTTTGGGGCTCTGGGCAAACGAGTACAGACATTGAGCCTCGGTTTTCCCATTAGGAAAATGCACTATCACCCTGCCCACCTCGCCTGCAAGGTTGCTCTGAGGCTGGAACAAAAGGATGGAGGTTGAACCACCAAAAAAGACGGTGAGGTTTTCACCTCATGCTCAAGTGCGGAGCCGTGAGCACCTTGGGGAGCGGTGACACAGTGACGTCCCCCAGGGGACACACGACGGTCCCACCTCAGGGGGAGGAAGGAATCGCCTCCGGGCACGTTCTTGAAGCTGCTCGCTCTTCCAGAGAGGATTAGGGGCCCGTCAGAGCTCAGGACGCCCGCAGGCTTCGCGAGAGGTCCCAGGCCCACGTCACCGCTAATGACCGAGAAGTGAGGCCGTCTCATGGGCACCAGGGGACCCCGCGCCCTCCGGGATCTCGGGGACCTCCTGTCCATAACCTGGAAAAGGGAGATTTCCAAGGGCCCTGACTGTCCGGGGCGCCCTCCACATTCCCTGCCCCTGGCGTAAAGCCTCGATTCACGGCATCCTCTCAGCCGCACGGGTTATCACCCTGAGAGGGGCTCGTGTCACAGAATACTTGCATCCGAAAAGCTGCCTTCAAAAGTCCATCCTTCTCAGAGGACTGTCAACATCAGCAGAGACAAATGGCGTTGATGATGGGGACCCACGTCACCTCTGTGCTCTGCCCCCACCCGTCACCCCAAAGTCCCAGCAGGAGGAAAACGCCAGACAAGCCAAACCCAGGGCCATGCTGGGAGACACCTGCCCAGCCCCCTCCACACTGTCACGGTCAGCAAAAAGCAAGCAAGTCTGAGAAACCACCTCCGGCCAGAGGAGCCTAAGAAGGCGAGACAACTATATATACAGCAGGGTCCTGAGACAAAAAAAGGTAAAAACACTGAATAAAGGGTGACCTTTAATAATGACTTCTCCATATTGGTTCATGAATTCTAACAAACGTACCGTATTAACGTTAAGCTGTTAAACACAGGGGAAATTATGCGGGGTTTGTGGGAACCCCCTTGTATTATCTTTGTGATTTTTTTCCCGCAAATCTGAAACTGCGTCTAAAAACGTAAAGTTCATTAAAATGTAAAAACGAGTTCGTAAATGCCTGTCTCAGGGTGATTCCCTGGCTGCGACGAAGCCCATGGAGTCAGCATGCAGGGGGTGGCGGCAAGCAGCCCGCCTTGGCTGCAGAAGGGGAGCAGCCAGAGACCTTGGCCCAGAGGCACAGAACAAACACTGAAGAGCTTTCCCAAAGGAGGGTCTCAGAATCCAGCCCCACCACAAGGGGCTGGGGCTCTGTCCCGAGACTCCCATCAAGGCGGATCCTGATGGGGAACACTCCTGGCGACCCCGTCTCATCCCCTTCCAAACCGGTCTGGGGGTCGGAGGCTCTCTGCCGCCTTTCTGTTCCGGGGCTGTGCTCAGGCTGCTCGGATTCGAAAGATTTATCATCTCTATTGGAGAGGAGTTGGCTTGGGGATGTCCCGTCTCCCTGGGGACAGTAAGACACAAAGCTGGGGACAGATCTGCAATGTCCTCGGCAACTCCTGAGGTTGTCCCCACAGTTATGCCCAAGCTTCTGGAATGTTCTAGGGGAATTCAGCTGCATCCTAGTGGAAAACTCTCCCTCCTCCCGGTTCTGACTGCGGGTTTCATAGGAGGCCTCGCCCCCTATGTAGACCAGGCCTCAGTGAATGGTGCAGGAATCTTTCTTCAAACTGCAGGGCCCTGACAAAGGGCCACCTGCTCTAGTGACAGTGAGGTTACAACCAACCATTTCAGAAACATTCTGCATCCTGGGGTGCCAGGGTGACTCCTAGAAACTTCCCAAATTGGCTCTGCGGCCCTAGAAGCCACTCAAATGCTTAGGATTGAAACAAGAATATTCCATCTGGTTTTCTGCCCACTGTGGGGGCTGGTTCACCTGACACCCATGTGAATGTTAATGCAAGGAAAATAGTATTTAAATGAAAGGGGGGAAAAAAGATCGTTTTGTAGTAAAATATTTTATATTAATCATTCAAACTTAATTTTATACAACGAATGCATACATCGTCCAGATGTCTGTCTCGGAAGGGAGGTCGGGGCGGGTGGGGGTGTGGGTGCGCCCGGGTAGGAGACAAAAAGCAAGAAGTCACCGCACTTCCCCGACTCATCCTGTGCTCCAGGCGGAGTGAGAACTGGCGCTGTCACCCGACAGGGACGTCACCGCGGAGAGCAGCATCTGCAGCAGCGGCCCCTGTCCAGGCCTCCCCGCTGGGCGAGCCCCCAGAGCCCAAGGCTCTGTGACCAGCAAGTCCTTGACATAACAGTGGCTGTGACATGTCACAAGGTGAACGGGGACCACTGTGAGCGCACGCGCACGTGTGTGCATGTGGATGTGCGTGTGTGTGCGTGCCCGTGTTTATGCGTGTGCGTGCGTGTATGTGTGCGTGCGTGTACATGTGCGTGTGTGCGTGCGGGTACATGTGCGTGCGTTTCCGCGTATGCATGCGTGTTTGTGTGTGTTTATCGTGTGTGCGTTTATGCGTGTGCGTGTGTTTGTGCGTGCATGTGGGTACGTGTGCGTGCGTTTGTGCGTGCACGTGTGTACGTGTGCGTCTGTGTGCGTGCGTGTGTACGTGTGTATGTGCGTGCACAGATAGGCTGGAGTGTTCTCCTCTGGTGGGGCTGCCCTGGGCCGGGCGCCTAGGCGGCGGGCATGTCAGCCTTGCTGAGCGCGATGGCGAGCTCCAGGTCCTCCTGCTCCTGCCGCCGCAGCCGTGCTAGCCTCTCCTGCTCAGCCTTCTCGCTCTCCCGCTTGGCCCAGGCCATCTGCTGCTCCTCATTGCCAAACTGCAAAGGAAAATGGAAGGTGGGTTACTTGGCCCAGGAGCTGCGACCTGTCGCTTGCAGGGGGGAGGGGGGCGGGCACAAGGATGCCCATCGCGTGCTGTCGGGGTGCAGGGAAATGCAATGCTGGGGTGCGCTGGGTGGGGGGGGGTGCGCTGCCTGGTGTGCACGTGAAAACCAGAAAACGCAGGAGCCCGTGTCTTGGTTGGGAGCGGGCAGGGGACATGCACGCCCCAGTCCCGACCCACAGTCACATGCACCGAGAAACAGGGCTGAGTCTGACCCCAGCTACCACCTCGGACCTCAGAGAAACTAGCCGCTCAGCCCTCTGCAGGGAGCCAAAGCAGGCAACTGCTAGGCACCCATTTGGGGACACAGAGGGTTCCCGCACGTCCCCAGCTCGGAGTCTCTGAGGCTTCAAGGGGGTGTGAGGGAGGGGCCCCCGCCCCGCCTCCTTTCAGGGCACGACGCTGATCTCTGCTCCACGGCAGCCCTCAGCTGCACCGACGAGCTCAAACAGCAAACCTACAAGGCCCGGGCCTCGACGACAGGCCGACGACACCAGCGGGTGGGAGGTGCTGGGACTGGAGAGTTGTGGCACGCTCATGGCGGTGCGTTTCAAATGTGTGCAGACGACACAGTCTTGAAATGTGGCATCGCTACCCCAGCCACGGCCCGGGGAGCTCTGGGCCCTCTAGGAGCCACCTCGTACTTGAGCATTTATAGGAGCCCTGGCATTTACGCTGCCGATCCGTCCAGGAGCTCTTGACGTCCTTTTCCAAAAGGTCCAATTGAAAAAAACCAATTTTTTAAACAAAGGAGAAAACTTGTAAACAAGATGGGTGGTTTCAAACCATCCAAGGCACCTTAGCTTCTACAGAGAGCACAGCAAAGCTAGATCTCACAGGCTCTTCCCCAGGTGTGGGTCTCTGGTTCTCCCACGGGCCTTAGTCACATGCCCCCCCCACCCCTACCCCGAGCAAAGCTGCAGCCTGTCCATGGGCTCGGGTCCCTTCGTGTCTCTCTTCTCGGCCCCGGCTCTGCCGGCTCTCTGCTAAGCACAGGAGGACACCAAAGAAAGACGCAGGCCGGCCCTCCGAAAGGCGCCCCTTGGGAGCAGACATACAGACAATCCCGATCTGACACAGGCTTCGTGGAGGCCCGAACAGACCCCACCAGGAGCACCGGGGAAGGAAGCACGACAGAGATTCATGGCTACTTCGGCACACATGTACCGAGCCTGAGCGACAACCTGGAGGGTGAGCTCCTCCGACAGATGGGGAGGAGGAAGCCTGGGGACAGCGGGGAGGTGGCTGCAGAGCCTGGGCCCTCAACATGCTGGACCTTCTCTCTGGGTCTGGGTCTGGATGGAGGGGGGCAGGGGCAGCCAGCTACAGCTGCAGAGTTGGGGCAACAGGGCACCTTCAGAGTGAGGCACTGGGTGCGGGGCACTGAGTACCCAAGCCTGGCACTGCCAGAACGGAGCCCGGGGTGGGAGGGGCTGCCAGGGACTTGTGTGCAGGTGTGGTGGGGGTGGGGGCCGTGGAGGGAGCCACATGTGGCCTAGAGAAGGAGGTGGGGCAGGAGAGGAGGCCTCCCTGCACCAGGGCTTGGGGGGTCTGGTGGGGACAGGTACGGACAGGGTCAGCATGAAAAAGAGCCATCCCCAGGAAGAAAGGCTGAGTCCTAGTTTCTTAGAGAAACTACCCAGAAAACCGTTCAGGGCCTGATGGGTCTCCAGGTAGGACTCCCTGGAATCTGGTCCCCACCCCTCCTGTTTCCATCACAGAAAGCCTCCACCCCCGCACTCTCTGGGGAATTTTCCAACACCTCATCAGGAGAAAAACAAGGAAAAAACCACAAATACTGGCAGAAACAGCTTCCCAGTGCTGCGGACAGGGACCTCGCCCTCTGTCAGCCCAGAGGAGGGGAAGGTGGGGGATGACAAGTAATGGCCAGGCTGACCCAGCCACAGCCTGGAAGCCAGGCCAGGAGGGGTCAAGTATCAGCGGAGGCCACAGGGCCGCACCACGATTCCCGCCCAGCCCCAGAGTCTCGGGATGTCCCTGTAGAGCCTCCTGTGCAACGGGTCCCCATTTTCAAATGAAATGTGCTGACAGGAACATTCCAGATGCCTTCAGAGCAGACTGGGTTGGGGCCGGCTTCGGGATCCCGTCTGGGGTTTGTGCGCACTTGAGAAGCAGGCTGGCCCGCGGTGTCCGAGAGAGAGGACCTGGAGGAAGAGGGGTGCTTGCGGGTCCCTCTGGGCTCCAACCAGCAGAAGAGCCTCTCCTGGCCCCAGTGGAGACCCCTCGACTAGGCCACTCTGGTCCTCCGACCCGCATGCACCGTGACGGCCAGAACCTGGGGCGCCTGTGGGTGCAGCCGCCACTCCAGGAGCGGCAGGTGACTCCTGCTTCACCCCTGTGCCGTCCTGGAGCTGAGACAGCGGGGCACAGAATGCCACCACCCGAGGCACCTCCCGGGCACAGGGCGGACGCCAAGCGGTTTTCCTTCAGCAGCCTCTCGGCAGAAATCCGGGGCTCAGATGGCTGCGCACACGAAGGCACCCGGGGCCACTGCTCACCGGGGCCTGAGGCGTCCGACAGCACCCGCCCTGCCCCGCATGGGCCGCCTGCAGCCGCCTCCCGCGGGCTCACTCACGCTGCTGTCAGGGTCGCATCCAACTGGTCCGATGACCCCCGGCGCGGCACATCCCATCTGAGAGTCGCTCTGCTCTTAATGCAGACTTGCGGAAAAAAGAGCCGTTTTGCTACCCTATAAAGGCTACTTCCTAATAAACACATTTGCCTGAGACAGAAAGTCTTGTTTTTAAAGAAATCTCGGAGACATTTCCTGTGAACGGCTACAAGCACAAGTAACCCATTGATGGAAACTTGGGGCTCGTCAGTGAGAGGCTTCTGGGGGGGCAGAGCTGGGGCGCCGCGGGGGGCTGCCCACGTGTGTGCCATCGGCCTCCCTGAAGTCCAGCGCGGCTGACAGCATGTCCTGGTGATGCTCAAGAACCGTCTACGCTGAACGAGCCACGCTGCCAATCCGCTGGGCAGTAAGAGACCTCCCAGCGTGTACCTCGGGGAAATGGAAATACACAGCCTGCAGGGCCCAACTCCCGCCTGTCCTGAGTTAACACAAACCTCCGAGGTCCCGCGAACCAGAAACCCCTGGCCAACGGACTGGGTCCCCGGATGTCACAAAAATGCAAAGGCATCCTGAGTGCCCGGAGGTGGGACGGGCTGGCCATTTTTGGACTATGGTATGACCAAAGGGGACAAACCAGGCCAGTCAGGTGTCATGCCTCTCCCACACTCCATCCCCTCAGAGGGGCCAAAGCCCGCTGTCAGGTGTTTTCTCCGGAAAAACTGGGGCATCCGAAGCAGGAAAAGTGATTTTAAACAAAGAACAAACAGGGCAGAGCCTGATCCCCCACCGGCAAACAAGGATGATTCAATACTGGGGGTGTTTCTGGAATGACCAGAAATATTGGGCCAAACGATAGCTTAATACCTCAGGGGTTTTTTTTGTTTTGTTTTTTGTTTTTTAATATTCTCCCCCAACCAGCCATGGGGTGTGGGGCGGGGCACAGAAGCAGATTCATGCATTTCAGAAAGAGAACAGTCATTTCTCCAAATTCCCAATCACATCTACTTACCCCCCTTCCCTACCCAAAACAGAGTACCTGATTCCTGCGTGAATAGCTCTCTTTTTCTCATCGACACTGGATATTTTTGTTTCCACCAAAACACAAATGCAGTACTATTCAAGAAACGGTAGATAAAGTGGGTTTTGTTTTTGGCTTTTATTAATACTGTCGCCATTTGGATACATCCACGGCGTGCACTGGCTGTCAACAAAATCGAGCTAACTGCAGTTGTAAAACATTTACAGGTCGCCAAGAGCCAGGACCGTGCCGGCGTCTTGGGTGACGGCAGAGAAGCTGCAGGACAGCCGTGCATGAGGTGGATCTGAAGCAAATCGGGCGCTCACCGGGCACCAAAAGGGCAGAGCTGGTTTTAAGACCGATATTCTAGGAGCCAGGGCGTCTATTAAACAATGCATCTCGCACCGAACCAGGAAACAGTAAAAACAGTGTGCCACAGACGGTGAAACCAATTCTGGGAAGACAACATCTGAAGCTCTCTGAGAACAAGGTTCTTGGTACCGAGGAAGGTACTGGAAACACCCCCACGTGACAGCACTTGGTAATCCGGAATCTCTTTTGCACACTGAGAAACAACAGCCAGGCTTTCCAGATTCCAGGATTAGCTTCCGAAAAGGCACTTCACCGCTTTGCTAAATGGCTCCGCAAGGGTTTAGGTTTGGGTTTGGGTTTTGGTTTGGCGAGGGGAAAGGCCTTCAGAGCGGTTGTTCTAGGCTGGATTTCTTCCCGTCGTAGCTGGGAACTGAAGTAAGTTCTAAAAGACCAAACTGCTCTTCCTCTGCAAGCCCTGCCTGGGTTCTTCAATCCTTACCTGCTGCTCAAAATGCCCTGGGGTGGGACCGTCACAACTCTTGCACAAAGACCCTTTTGGGGACAGTGAAACCCTACTGGGACTTTTGCGATCTCGTGTGCGTACTTTCGGAAGCGTTTGACATCTCAGCTTCCAAAAATCCATGAACACCATGGCCTCCGGGCCACAGAAACAATACAGAGTCTACCAGGAAGGACAGAAACGGGCACATCCGGCCATCCTGCTGGAGGAAAGCATGGCCTGATCACAGAGTATCCAAACTGCAGCTCTTTTTCTTTTTTTATTGAGAAACTGTTTTTCTTACAGAAAGCAGCAGTACAGAATAAATAACACAAGGGATAGCGTAGAGGTACCAGGAGACAGAAGCCAGGTGTGCCGTTTCAAAGAGACAAAAAAGAACCCCAAAGAAGCTGCAAGCGGAGGGTGGAGGGGTGGCGCACAGGGAACTCAACTTACAGAGGTGAAGTCTGCAAAGCCCAAGGAAGAGGCTTTAGAAGGTTTAGCTGAAGAGGAGGGAGCAAATGGATCTTTTCCACTAAACGGGTCCCCAAACCCCTTTTTATTTTGGAACGGGTCACTGCTGTCAGCCCCGAGTGGCTGGAATGGATCGGGGGGCTCGGGAAAGTCTGCAGAACCAAGCTGGCTTACAGGTGTACTTTTACCTGGAAAGTTTAGGAGAAAAAAAAGGGGGGAGGGGAGAAAAAGAAAAAAAGAAAAAGAAATACAAGTTACTGACCACAGACAGAACAGAGTCCTGACTAAGGAGGCCGGCGAGAGCTCACGGGGACACCCTCTCCTCCTTTGGAAATGGCCGGAATGCCGCCTGCTGGTGGGACAGACCCCAGGGGAATCCTGGATGGATCTTGCTTTATTCTCACCTTATCCCAGAGGCTTCACAGGTTTGTGGGCGATACAAGAAAACCACTTCTGACAAGCCCCTCCCTGCCCCACCCCCCACAGCTAAAATGTACTCTTCACCAAGTTTACATGCAGACATGTTTCAAAGTGACTCATTTTAGTGGCAACACATTTACTATCACATTGAGTTAAAAAAAAAAAAAGTCATGGCTGAGCAGAAAAATACACTGCAAGCTTCTAACAATAAAAAAAATGGGAGGGTAGTATCTGCGATTAAAAGGGGGGATTAGTTTCACAGTATGGAACAGAGTTAGCATTGGTTGTGAGGGTTTGGCCTCTGCTGTCCTGAGGTTTTACGTCGGTTCTTAGCTCCCGCTTCTGTCCTTTGGTGCTGGTGGCTCCGAGGGACGGGGTTTGGGCCTTTCTAGGCTCTTGCTGAGAGGGTGGCTCTGGGATGCCTGGGTCCTAGCAAGGCCAATCTCAACCGGATGTATGTGGGATAGATGTGTTCAGAATCAGAGGGAACCTGGCCATGAGACCATGCTTGGGGCTGAGGCCTGAGGGCAGGTGGCTTTTCCTGACAAGTCCTGCCAGTGTGCTGGAATGTTCCACGAGGAATCAGGGGCCTCTCCAGGCCTGCCTGGCAACACTTGATAAGCCTTCAGGATCTGCCAGTTTTGTAGGCCAGGTTCCTGCCTGACGCCACTCATTTGCCTGTTGGGGCACCAGGAGTGAGATGTTCAATTTAGTCCAAGCAGCTTTGTGTCCAAGCCCCAGCTTTGAGACTAGAGGGTACTTAACATAATTCCAGTTTGTCAGTCCGGCTGCTTATGTTTACTCTTGCAATTTCAAAACTGATGTGCACCAAGAACCCACATTCCACACACAACCCTGGACATTTAGCTGCACATCCAGAAAATGCCCCCAGCCCCGAGTGGCACCTCCAGTGCCCCCATGTGGCACTTGAGCCTGGGACACCTGCCCTCCTCACCCAGGCAGCCTCTGCCACCCTACCTGCTAGCTAGAGAGAGGACCTGCCCATCCATCTCCACGCCTAGCTCTTAAAAGCATCCTTTCTGATGCCATGTTTCTATGGGGCCCCAGCTGTCCCTAAGAGCTCTGGGGCCACAGCCTGCCTCTGCTTCTTTCAGCTCCAAGACCTCAACAAGGACAAGTCCCTCAGCCCCAGCTGGCCTCAGTTTCCTGTGTGTGAAGTGGGAACGAAGAGGCAGGGGTCAGATCAGGTGGCTGATGGATGCGCAGACCCAGGGGGCAGCACGCTCTGTGCCCCACCCCGAGGCTGCCCTGGCATCCCACATCACAGTGGGTGCTGCCTTCTCCGTCACACCGCCTGCCCCAGGCAGTACCAGCAGGACTCGCAGGGACGGGAGGAGGGAGGAGAGGCAGGCTGGAGCAGAGGTCTGTCTCTCCCTGGGACCGCAAATTGATTCCCAGGCAGACCTGGGGCCCAATGGTGGGTGGACCCTATGAGTTAGAAGGGTCCCCCATGGAAAGCCTTTGCCGAAGCCCACGGATGTGCCTCATTGACACGGGTCACAGGACTATTCCCCAGAAGGGTAGTGCCGAGTCCACCATGCAACAGGAATTAGGACTTCTCTCTCTCACAGCAACTGACTTGTCAAAGTGAAGGCCTGGGGGGGTGCCCCCCCCCCCACTTTCTGTACTGGTCGAGTCTCTAGCGCGGGTACTTCCTCCCCTATCCATGACAGAGCCCAGACCTCCTTCAAGCTGTCCGTCCAGCACCAAATGCTCCTCCCCACGCCATCCTCCCTGATGTTAGCTCTCCCACCGCCTCCCTGTCCTGGACCTCAGCACACCCCCCGCCCCCCCCCCCCCGGCTGCAGAGAGCAGGGTGCTCTGGGGGCCTGCCCCACCTTCTCTGGCTTTTTCCCCACGCCCTGAAAACCTGCCCCCCCCCCCCCGCCAAGGCCACCATGCACAGCCAGCCTACTCCCTGGCCAGAGGGATGCGCCAATAGATGAATCAAGGCCTCCCTGGCCCCCAGAACTGTGGGCAGAGGAGACAGCTGTCAGGTGAGGAGGCCAGCCCAGCAGCTTGCAAACTCCAGGCTGTCCACCTAAGAACAATGGGGGACCAGGCATACCCCAGGGGCACCCCAAGCAGGAAAAGTGGGCATGGGGCCAGGGTGCTCCAGTCCACAGGCCTCACACCACCTCAAGACACCATATTTCTCTCTGCAGCCCCTGTCCCGAGCAAGCGGCCCTCATCTCTCCTGGGTCCCTGGGAACCGGCTCCCCACAACAGCTGCTCCCCGTCTCGGCTTCCTGCCCCACAGGCCATCCCCACCCAGCAAAGTGGCTTTTTTAACACAGAGCTGATCCCCACGCTGCTTAGATCTCCCAAAGGCTTGAGGCTACCCTAGGAATACCCACCAACCTCCTCCACCCACCCCCTGCACCCGCACCTGGCCGCCTTCTGCCCTGCCCAGCTCAGGCCTTTTGCGCCTGCTGTTCTCAGGCTTAGGGGGCCCTTCCTCTGTGGGTGCCGCACACTCAGAGGGCGCCCCTCCCCACTTCTGGCTGAGATGCCTCCCTATCTGCTGCTCTGCAGCCCGTGTGACATTCTGTCCTTAGGTCACATGAGTATTTTTGCTCTCACTCGAATGTAAGCTCTGTGAGGCTGGGGGCCCACTGTCCACGGCTGTGTCCCCCCCCTGCCAAGCACAGAACCGAAATCTTAAACTCCCTGCTGAACAAAGCTTTCCACCGTGCAAGCTCCCCCGCGCCCAGCCCTGCCTCGGGCCCATGCTTCCCCCATCTTGTGGTGCCTCCCAAAGGCCCCGCAACCCACGCCAAACTCTTCCCAACTTCACCCCCCGCCAGCCCTCCAGGGCCCAAGTGGCACCTCCTTCCCTGGGAAACCCCCCAACTCAGGGTTTTTTTCTGGCTGGTTCTTCTGCCCAGGATGCACTCCTGTCTCCCTGGCGTCTGTGTTCAACTCTTCCAGCCCAGCCCTGGGGCAGGCCAGATCCACCCCCGGAAAACCGGGAGCAGCACAGCAACCCCGCCCCCACCTTGTTCTCTGACTCAGTTTCCTAATCCACGACAAGGGGTTGTTACAGGTTGAACTGCCTCCCCCACAAATGCATGATGTCGTCTTCACCCCGAGCACCTCAGAAGGTGACTGTGTCTGGATACGGGGTCTTTGAAATGGCAGGTGAGACAAAATGATGTCCTGCGGCTGGGCCCTAGTCCAGTAAGACCGGTGATTTTATAAGAGGCGGCGGCCAGGACACAGACTCGCACAGAGAAAGGATGTGAAGACACAAAGAGATGGCCCACCACCAGCCAAGGACAGAGGCCCCGGAAGGAAGCAGCCCTGCTAACACCCCGATCTTGCACCTCCAGCCCCCAGAGCCGAGACAAGGATACACTTCTGTTGTTTACACCGCCCAGCCTGGGGTGTCGCTCGGCAGCCCAGGCTCGCTCGCACAGGGTCAGGAGAAGGCCGCCCTGCGTAGCTACCAGGGCAGTCACCGAGTGGAGGGGTCGACCCACCACGGGGCTGCTCGCTTTCGTGAATGCCCGTGAGCTGGGCCAACTCACTCGTGTGCCCTCTGTGGCGGCTTTCATGCCACGACAGCAGAGCTGAGCAGCCAGGAACACGTAAGGCCTGCAGGGGCACAAAGAGTGACTCTGGCCTTTCCCAGAAACCCCTCACATGCTCATGCCGTGAGCGGGTGCTCAGCTCAGGCACCTGCCAGGCAGTGAGCACATCACATTCTACTGCCCGGTGACCAGGCCCTTCTGGGAGACGGAAGGACGCTCCAGGCCCCAGGGAGGAGCCCCTGGGCCCCCACAAGGAAACTGAGGACCCCTGACTGCAGCTCTTTGCTCTGACAGAGCCACTCAGAAGCCCCGTGAGCAGCACGGTGGCACTTACAGCCTCCGGACGAGGGTGCCTTCCCCCTGGACCGCTTTGCAGGCACCTGCCCATCCCACCTCCTCAAACCCCCCTCTGTACCCTCCCTCTCCACGGTGAAGCAGCGCCACGTGCCAGGTGCCACCCCCAAGAGAGGAGGCACAGCCCCAGAAGAGGCCCCCCATGGAGTATGCCAGGAGGCCAACTCCACCTCGCCTTCCACACCCCACGTGGCGGCACCATCCAAGGCCTGATCGCAGGTAGACACACGTGCTCCCAAGTGAAGCCCGCTCCGGGGGCTCCTGGAGCACCCATAGCCTTTCCAGGGCCTGGGATGACTGGCCCTCATCTGCACACTTAGCCAGTATGTGCAAGGACCCTCAAGGCCACGGGCAGGGGTGCCGTGGGGGACACAGGCTCAGGTTGCATGGGAAGGTAAGCTGACCTCAGCCTGCAGGGTCCTTGTGGCCTGGCCACCCCAGCCTCCTTCCCATGGCCACTTCCACTGTTCTGACCACCCACACTGTCCAGCCTGGCACAGCCTCGCCCTTCCCCTGGCAGACCCGCCCCCAGGGCTCACTCCTCCCCTGCAGGGCTCCCCACTGCCTTGTCCACCTCCCATGGCACCGGCCCTTCCCGCTCTGGCCTCCAGCACACGTGAGGGTCAGTTTCTCGCAGGCAAGGCTCAACAACTGGTACAAGTAAATACCACTCCCTGTCCCTGATGGGGAGCGGGGGGTCCTCGTGGGCTGGGTGCTGCCGTACGAGAGCCACAGGACTGTCCCAAGGGACTGAGGCCCTTTCGGGGAACCCCTCTGGTGAGCTAGGAAAGAGTAAGGCATCTGGTAAGGAGGCATCCCTCCTTTGCAAGAAAGAGCAATATTCACTGGTGCACTCTTGG